CTTCCCGTCCCCGCAGAGCTCGCTCCCGGCCGCGCGCCGCGGCTCCCGCTGAGGGCAGGGCGCGAGCCCGGGCCCTGAGGGGACGGAGCGGCGGAGGGAGCGCGGGCAGGGCAGGGACAGGGACAGGGACAGCCGTTCCGAGCGGTGCCCGGCGGTAACAGAGCCAAACGCCGCTGGGCCCCGCTCCGGAGCGCGGGGCGCTGGCGGGGGAGAGCAGGGGCCGCTGCTGGGCAGTGAGGGCGGCAAGCGGCACAGGCTGTGCCATCGCCGAGAGCCGAGCGGCCCGGGGAGCGCAGGTGCCCCAGCGCCCGGCACACGGGACAGACACGGGAACTCGGCAAATACAGGCCGGGTCCCCAAGGCAGGGGTGCAGTTTCTTGGAAAGGCGAATAATACGGGTGTTGCGGTCAAAAGCTGTCATTCCGAACAGTAGATTTAAAGCACAAGAACTGCCTCTTAACACATGAACATGCAAACACCTCTTCTTCTGATGCTTAACTAAGGAGTGGCCTTAAAACATGCTGGCAGTTGTGGAAGCTCCACGGGTTTCTTTACCCCCCTTAAAAAGTAACTCTTACCTTTAGCACAGAGCAGCGTGGGTGCGGTGTGGGCACTCACCGTGGGCTGTGTGCCTTCACACCCTGCATTTCCTTGCAGGAACTTGTTCTCCATGCACTCAGCCCTGTCTTGTTACTGGGAACTCTGCTCGCTGTTTTAATTTCACTCTGCAGAGCCGCAGGCTTAAATTGTGCACAGGTCAATGCTAGGACATTTTCGTGGGGCTTACTCATTTGAAACATTTTTTTTTAACTTCTGAATGTCTCAAGACACTTATGTCCTTGTGGTGCTTATTTATTAAAAATAGCTATCTTGCTTATGCCAGCAGCTGCTGTAAAAATGCAGCTTGGTCCTTTTTACATAATATGGCATTAAATGTAACTTTAGTTATTTAATATTTGAAAAATAATATTCAGTTAATGGTGGCAGATTAATTGTATGTATTATTTGTATGTAATACTGGCCTTTAATGTCAGGATGATTAAAACTTGGGTTAGCACAGGTCATTTGAACTAATGGAGAGGATTGGCATTTTGTGGTTTCGTGTATGGTACATGAATGATGCTTAGATAATTTTGCCATCTTGTATCTCTGTTTGCTGCCTTGTGCTGGAAGAACCTTTCTTTTGCTTACTTCTTCCTTTTGATGTCATCTCGTTGTAGGCTTTTCTATCGCTTCCTGCATGGCTTTTCCTGGGACAATGGTTTTCAGTTTTTTAATGGGTCTGTGGCTGGTGAAGGATTCTTGAAATGTTACAAAACCGAGCCTGCAATGAGTTGTCCAGGGGGCAGCTGTAAGAACCAGTGGGCAGCAGCAGCAGTTCCTTCAGCAGTTTGTGACTTTCAGTCTGACAGACTTGATTTAACCTTTGTGACAGATGGGAAGTTCTGTGAAATATATAGGAACAGTTTCTTCTGTTTTATTACCCCTGAACTGTAGTTCAGCAAGAAGTCCCAGTGACATTAGGTTTTCCAGCGTTTTGAATGATTTCCAGTTGGAGGACCAGAACAGGAATTCAGTGTTATGTGGGACCCCCAGAGCAGAGTGGTCCCTCCCCCGGCAGGCGAAGGACGGGCAGGGCAGCACAGCTGAGCCTCTTCAGGAGCAACCTACACGGATCACACGGGCCAGGGCAGCACTCGTGACACGGCACTCGGACAATCAAGTATTGTTCTCATTTATCTCCTATCCTACACTTGGGGTTGAGACAGCGTTTAATGAATAATAAACCTACACAAATTTGGGGGTTTTCTGGTTTTCCTGAATGTTTTCAGATACTTTTGCTTTCTAATGGAATGTGTGGAATCCAACAAGATACAGTTTTAAATACTCTTATTTTTAACCAAGGACAATATTTGTTGCTGCCTTCAAGTTTCCATTATTAGCACAGAGGCCCTTAATCCTGCACCAGTTACCATTGTTTGATTCCTTCTTTTTAGGAGACATACAGATTTACTTATGTGAAGAAAAGCATAAGCTAGGTTATATGATGGTGTCTGGTTGGACAGTCAGAGAAACTAACCAAAAGTATTTGTAATTTCAGGGAGCATTATTTGCAGATTTCTTAGAGATCTGTGCTGAGTACTTCTTAGAAAAGATGAAATGGGCTTTTATGCTTTCACATTTTCTCAGTTGCTTTGTTGGGTTCTTGGGGTGGAGATCTCCAGCTGAAAACATAGTACAAAGAACTAAGCATTCTTTAGAGGAGAGTATTTAGTCCAACCGGGTTCACCATCAGCTTAATGTTTCAGAATCATTCCGGTAGCAACTTACAGAGCACTGACACAAAAGAAGGTAAGGATTTTTAGACTTTTTTTTTTCTTTAAGAAACATAAATAAGCCCTAAATATCTTGCTGATATAAAGACTGTACCCTCTCTTTCTCTCATTTCTGCAGTTTCTTGTCCATAAAAAAGACATTGCAAGAGTTTTTAGGTGGTTATTTACCAAATCGGTTAGTGAAAATGCCTTCCCAAATATGCCATTGCATTTTAGCTGAAAGGTGTAGCAGTTTGTATTTATTACACAAGAATGAACTCTGAGTTTTGCAAGTCTTCTGCTATTGTCTTTTACTTTTAGCTGGTTTGAGATTAAAAATAGTGAGTCGTGGGTCTTCTGTGCAAGTGGGGAAAAGCAAGCACCACGACATTACATGGTGTTTTTGTATTTGGCAGAGTTGGAAAACCAGCACAGAGGATGAAGAGGGACTGCATCTAATGCTGCCTAAATTCTTGTCATTTGGATTCTTGCTACCAAAATAGGAGGAAGGGGTTTGGAAGGACATATGTTCAGAGTCTATAGCTGTTTGAAGGGTGTTCAGCAGGACAGATCTAGCATGAAACTGGGGGAACACACCCTGTTTCTGGGGCCTTCTCTTAGGTATAGATTAGGCATGTGTCTTGAATGGATAGGAACAGTAATATCCCTAAACATTTTGTGAGTTATCAAAATGTAACAATTTTAGAAGTCTAGCATCTCTCCCTGGGTAATGACATAGGAGGTTTCTCTGAATGACCAGCCAATGAGGACACAGTTGTTAGATTATGATATTTTCAATAACCAAAGGATGCAATATTTCCCATGTAAAGCAGGGCAGTTCCTTGTTTTCCTAACAAGGTGTGCAGACTGGTAGTGTTAACCTTGAGTGACATTTTGTCTGCAATGTTCTTCTCAAAGACAGGCTCAGTCCTGTTGCCTTGAATTTTTTTTATTCAGTTCTTCTACAGTTAAGGTTTACATTTCAGTTCCCAGAAAACTGGATGTTCTTCTCCAAAGCATATATAGTTTTCACCTCAGTCAGACTGTCTGCTCCCCACCCCCATTTGCAATGTACAATTCCCACTTGCAGCATTTTCAGTAAACATGGGGTCAATTGAGTGTACAGAAAAAGCTTCTATAAAATTTCCATTAAAAAAATAACAAGTTTTTATTTACAAAGTGTTTGCTACTACAAAGTAATATTTCCTATTGGTTCAAATATACTATTTACTAATGCCAGTGTTCCTATTAGGAAAGTAAAACTTTGTATATGCACTTTTCTTTATTTCTTTGTCAGTGTTTAAAGCACATAAAATACTACCACATTCTTTTTTACACTACTCCTAACCATGTACAATGTGGTAGTGGAAATTAACACTATCTCATCAGGGCAAAAATTCAGCATAGCTTAATAGCAGACTTTCTGCAAAAATAAAACTTTAGTTTATAATTTATAGGTATTTGGAAAGAAAGAAATCTACGGAGAATTCGAAAATATGCAGCAAATGAAGATGAATGGGAAACGGGTTTTGCCAAAGATTTTAGCACAGGAAAAGGGAGAAAAAAATTCCACTAAAGTGTTTGTGTGATGCTTTGTGCCAGTAAAGATGTTGGGAGAGCAAGATGAGTATATTAAAATTAATTAAAACTTCAAATCCCATATAATTAGCATGCTTGTAATTGGATTTGTCTCTTCCCACCCACCATGTTTACAAAACCCTGCTCTGAGTTCAGTGTTGGAGGTCACTAAATAGCTTTGTCCATGACTGGCCTTGTTCTTAAAAAAAGAGTTTAATTTAAAAGTTAATGAACTTTCAAGTGGTTTCTGCATTTTAAATATAAAAAGGAAGTGTCTCTACAATTACTTCATGTAGAATATAGTGGATATTAAAAAGTGCTTCTGTAAGGGGGGATGGAGGGCTGGACCTGCCTTTTCCACCCCGTGCTGCTTTGCATGCATGTTGCAGCATGGGGTAGAAAAGAATGTGGGCTGATGGCACATCAGCACTCAGAATTCAGCATCAGTCCTCCTTACCAAGGACTCTGTCTACTGCCAGATCATCCCCCAGGTACCAACAAAAAAGTCCTGGTGTAAAACTGCCTGTGCTTGCTGGCCAGTTTCTCCTGATGCCTTGTAGGATATGCAAACACAGAGGCTGTGCCTTGGGCATGGTTTGCAGTCAGGGCCTGAGGAATGAGGACAGGCTCACATCCTACTTCTTACATGTTTGTTCAAAGCAGGATTCATTTTTTTACAGTAGATGCTTGTTAGATACAGTGTCGTAACATTTGCATATGCGTCTCTGAAGTATTTTTCATGTATAAGCACGGCCTTTAAGACAGTGGAATGTTTCAGAAACTTGTATGATGGGTTGTGATTCAGCTGGTGCTTTCCTGGGGAAATTCTGGGAGATCCACTTAATCCTTGCATTAGTACAACCAAAACTAGTAATTATTAAAGATACAATAGAAACTTAACAAACCCATCAAAATGCCTGGAGACTGGTTTTGTGGACTTCACCTTTTCTGATAGTTTTAAATTCTGTGGCCATTCAGAGTAGTTGTATGTGACCAGAAAATGTCAGTGGGAAGGACTATGGATACATGGTGTTCTTCCCTCTCTGGCTGCCTGGCTCGTGTGGCTGGGCAGCATGGGCAGCACAGGAACCAGTGCGAGGACGAGTGTTTCACTCAGCCTGGAGAGGAGAATGGGCTAAAACCAACTCACCAGTAAAGACTCATTTTGTCTTAGAAAAAGTTTCTGCATAGATGAGTTTGATTTGCATCTACAACTGGATTTAAATTTAACATTGCTGTATCCTGTTATCCCATGGTGTCTATACATCTAAAATACTTATGTCTGGAGAGCGTTGAGAGAATGGCATTTAGAGAAAAGAGATTTAAGTGATTGCACTTTTCTAGCCAATACAGAAGACTAAGAAGAGATGTAAATTTGTACTACTGGGAGGTTCCTGTACCTGTTTGGAAATTATCATGGCTCTGTTACCCAGGTCAGAATGCTTTTCCTCTTGGATACATGCAGATTTATTTCCTCCACATTGTTCCCAAGCAGGAGGCTTTCCCTTGAGATTTGGATGGTTAGATCTCAGATGTTACTTCTGAGTAATTTTGGTAATTTTTAAATTTACCAATTTTGAGCAAGCATTTTTGGTGTCCTGCAGTTTAGGTGGATATCCTAAATGTTGGACTCTTCGGAACCATCAAAAATATGGAAACAGAAAGAAAACATTTTGGTTTTTGTCTGATCTCTGGGTGGGCAGATAAGGTGTTTAAAGGTAGAGTGACTTTATGATCTCTGAACAGCTGCAATAAACAGCCCCTCCCTTCAGTTACTGGCATACTGTTTTAATGAGCACTCCCTCCCTCACTGTCAGTGCCAGCTGGGGAGGGATCCATGGATGCCACCTCAGGCAATCAGACGAAGGAACTGGGGCTTCTTGCACACACAGCTCTGCAGTGACTTGAAAGGACAGTAATCCTTTGCAGATGGAATGAACACAGGGGAGTAACATTGGTTATGGGTATTTTTTGGCAATATACCTGGACTGGGGGGAGGACAGTTATTCACAGCCTCTTAAAAATACTCACCAGAAAAAATCCTAACAGCAAAACAGGGAAGAGATTATCAGATTTGGGAACTTTGTTAAATCTAAGGAATGAGTTTCATGAAGTTTCATGGTATTAGGATTGGGTTGTGTGAACACCTGCCAGCAGAAAATTAAGTCTTTAGAGCTGTTCATGTGTTCAGGTAGGTGTGTGGTGTCCACAAATGATTCATTGCTGCATTGCTTGCAGTCAGAGACCAGAATTCAAGTGTCACATTTTAAAGAACAAACCTCCATAAACAGGTCCTTGGCCTCTCCCTCACTAAAAGGAAAGTCTTTACAATCAACTGCCTGGTTTATTTTCAGCTGAAAAGGGCCAGTTAACTACAAAAAGGAGTATTCCCCAGAGTTCAAATATGGTTAAGTTTCAGCCATACTCTTGAATTAAAATGGTGGATTGGTCTAAAGAAAGAGCACTTGAGCTTTTAAACCTTAACTGTGGAATTCTAAATTCAAGCATCATTTAATGGATGAACATGTATGCCTCGTTTTTCTTTAAAAAAACAAAAGGGTTAATATTTGGTTATTAGGCCTTTTTACATAATGTTACTTCAGGCTGACATAGTTGATCAGCAGAAACCCTTCTGTGGTAATTCTGTATCCTTGGCAATCTCCAGCTGCTCAAAAGGATTTAGGATTATTTTCAAACTGTAGTTTAAAAATTAAAACCCTTTAACCAAAATGGAAACACCTACAGTAGGGCTTGTACTGGGTTTAGTACTGGTACTGGTGTTAGTTTAAGTCATATCTTCAGTTGAACTGGTGGTGTTTACTGGATACACACACTGAGATTGCATGGATTGTTGGCGTTAATTCCAGTGTGGAAATGAGAAGACTGGTACATATTAATGCAATTTTAAATATCAGAATTCACAAACATTGTCAGATTTCCACATAATAGAAAAATGCTGTCTCCCACTCATAGTTTTTCATCTCATACTTTTTCATCTAGATAGCGGAGCTGACAAGTTTTTCTAAGTCAAATTTAGATTTTTTAAGCACCACAAAGTCAGTCCAGAAATAAAGTTGTTCACTGCACTATAGTTATAAAGGCATTTACATACAGCATTATATTGCTTGCAGTCAAGTGCCTCCTAAATGTATAACCAAGATAGAGTGTTCCAAGACATGGAAATATCTTAAATTTATCTTACATTTAAGTTGCATGGAAATTTAAATGTTGACTTTTTCTTATATGAAGTATGATCTAGTACCAGTTGCTGCTTGATTCCTGTCAATGAATATGAGGGATATTGCACGAGACAGGAGATGATGATGTGAGCTGAACAGAAAATGGGAAAATCAATCTTGGCCATGTCTATTTTATTGTGGAAAGTGTTTGCTGGCTCTCAACAGGAGGGAGGGCCTGTGTGTTGAAGCAGCTGAGCACAAACACTGCCGTGAGCTTAATGAGAGCTCTGTGGTTTGTTAATATTCTCAACTCCCTTACTCACAATTGCAGCAGCTGCCTTTAGTGAGGTCTTGCATTTACCTGTCTTGGTTTGTGGTTTTTGTGTGTGTGTTTTGTTTTTTTTAAATATGGCAGCTAAGATCACCAGGAATGATTGAAAGGTTTACCTGAGGTCATACACAAGTGACTGTAGCTGGATAAGGCCCCAAATTCTCCTAGTTCCCAGACTTTAGTGTAGCCACAGGACTGCTGTGCTTCAGGTGAACTTCATCCTTAACTGGTATTTGGCACAAAGAAGCCCAAGGAAAGAATTTACTTTTGAAGTCTCTTCTAAATGTTCTAACTTGTTTTGTCCTTTGTATTCAACTAGTCCAGGAAAAAACAAACAAACCAACTTTCAAAGGCTTGGTTCAACTGTCAAATAAATATTATGTGCTCCCATATTTTTTACTTTTTACCTTTAAATTTGGCAGTTTGATGTTTGCCAGAAAGCAAGCAGCTGTGCAGGCTGCAGCTTTGAAGGACATAGACATCAGTGGAGGAAAGGTGTCATTGAAGATCTTCCCCCTTTAAAGCAGAAAGCCTACTGACTTGCTAATAAAATACATTCCATTTCTGGGCTGGAAGCCTTTTTTTTCCAGGTTTTTATAGTTCAAAGTGCTGCTCTTTAGGAACTGATTAGTGTTTTGCTGTTTGTTTGGTTTTTTTTTTACACAGATCTTGAGTGAGAAGTGTGAAGAAAGTGTAAAGTTAAATGTGTCCCTAATATATTGTTGGGGGGAGGAAGGTGTAACTACTTTGGAAGATATTTCCCTCTTAAAAGAATTCCTTAGGACCATGCATATCTAAGTTATCTTTGATCTGCCCTCTCCAATGAAAGCTGGCTGACAGGGCAGTTTTTGAAAAAGTAATGGGTTTTTTAGGAATGAAAGTGACGATCTGTTTAAATCGTGAAGCTGACAATTCCATAGTAATATGTGTGGAGTACCTGTTCCCTTCTTCCCCCATTTCAAAAGTGAGCCACTTGGCTCAATGCATTGACTCTCTCAGCAGGAATATTCTTTTGTTTCTGTAAAGCTTTTCTGGTATTGAGGTAGTGTTACAGATTCAGTGGAAGTGAGGGGGTGTAAAGCCTCAGTCTTTAAAGTCTCTGCTGTTGCCTGTGAGCCATGAGCACAGGATGGTCTTAACAGTCTTGCCCCAAGGGTGAATACCATGGTAGGCATTTTAGTTTGTGCATTTGCCATTCATTTGTGTGAAACAGATAGTTCAGTCAAGAGCCCTACCTACATTCTGGTGCAGGGTACTGCTCAGGTTCTCCTCAGGTGCAGGAACTATCTGTGAGACATTTCTATCTGATGCTTTAGTTTAAACATGGGGTGGTGCTTGTCTACTCACAGTTTTACCTGTCCTGGGAGCAGCCAGCCCTCTGCTAATTCCTGCACAGCTCTTGAGCTGGAGCCTCATTTTCTCTCTGTAGCTCAGGCTTGGTACTTTTGGATCTTGCTGGCCTGAGTGAGTGCAGGTTTGGCTGTAAGACATGACATGGATACAACTCAGGCTGTGAGTGATGCTGCCAGCAGCCCAGGGGTAGCTGTTGCCATTGCTCAGGTGAGCCACAGCACAAGCTGCCCCATTCCCCAGTGCAGGAACAGAGCCAGGACAGCTGCCTCACACAGCTGAGACTTGGGGCAACCTCCTAGAGTCAGTGCAAAACCTGGGAAGATTCACCTCATGAAAAAGAGAGGCTAGGCAAAGTCCTGGGCGCTGGAACACCACGGGAAGAGTACATCTACAGTGTATTTTGCATTGATATTCAAGGTTTTTTTACAGATCTTTATGATTGGATGTGATGTTAGCTATGGAAAACACAGTCTCCTGCTTCAAGTCTAATTTAACAATTCACATGGGATATGTGTTGGGTAACTTGAGCTAGATTATTTTTAGTGGTTTGATACAACTTTCAAAGATGCATCAAGGTAAATGCAACTGAAGTTACTGATCAGAAAGTCTGTCAGAATCAAAGCTGACCAGAATGCAAAACATGAGATGATGTATTGTTGAAATTTTATTTTTTCCCCTAAGAACCTCAGCCTATGACTTTAAAAGTTATGTGACTTGCCCACCCCGAATTTGAAAAGACTGCCTTGAAAACATGCTGCCTGAGATCTTTAACATGGTAGGAGGGCTTTTTAAAACAAACAAGACATGCTCTAACATCAAAGGGATTATATAAAGTTAGAACAGTAAAGGAGAAGCTACACTGAATACTCTTTAATCTAGAAATACAATTTTTTTACTTATTTTCCTTGAAAAAAGCTGGTGCAGAGAATACTGTTTGTTTCCTGACTGTTTTAATAATGGCTAAGAATAATCACTTATAATAAATTAGGCCTGCAATAAAAATGAACATATGAACCTTTTATACTAATGTTACTTTTAGAGTATCTAAAATGGATATAAACTATTTCAAGATTCATTTAATCACTTGCAATTTATATTACTTTAAGAATCTTCTATACAGCAAGTTGAACAGAAAAAAACCCAAACATTTTAACAGCCCCTTTTCCCTATAACCACTTTCATACTTTTATAGTTTTAAATAACAAGTTCAGCACATTTGCATGTACTCGCTCCCCTTTTTTCTAAAGGCAGCACGGCCAAAAGACAATGCAAGCATTGGCCTTTACTGACTGACTGTTTTCTTCTCCATATGAAAAAGATAAGGGGAAGACAGAGACTTGAGTTCCAAAATGGAAAATATGATTTTAAGGTTTACTTTGCCACATGTCCAGGGACTTTGTTCTTTTCCTTGTTTATAGTTTATAAAACCCACTTTGCTCTGCCTCTGCATGTCACTCTGTGTTCAGTTATACAATTCTTCAATTTCAGCTATGGATAAACTTGTTCTGAAGCTTCCATTGTGGTTCACCAAACACAGTGCAAACCAAGGCAAGAAAACAGTAAAATCCAAACAGGAACTCCCATTAAGAATATTTGAGCAGCATTTTGTATATTCCATTTTCTACTGTCCTCATTCTGGGGAGGAAGAATCCTCATCTTCATCCTCTTCATCCTCCTCGTTGAAGGAACAGGGTGTCTCCCCCCGGGATGCTGCACTGCTGGACTGCTGACTGCTAGGGGCAAGAAGCTGCCCAGTTGCTAAGGCCACTTCAGCATCCAAACACAACCCTGGATTCTCACTAGCAAAACAACAGAAAGGGTGAAGTTTAGAGGGGTTCTCATGAGGTTTTAAGATTTTTCTTTTTGGCCCCAACTTTTCTGTTAGTGGAAGAAAAGCTACCAAGAAGGAAAAATCCCAGAATGTTACAGTAAACACAGCTATTAGTTGGGAGAGCTGATAAAATATCGGAAAGTTGCATAAGAAAGATTATTGGATGATGACTTCTTTTCATAAATAACTAGTAGAATTGTTTAAGCTGAAGAAAAAAAGGGAAATCTACCAGTTTCATTAACACACAGAAATGTTTGCAATATAAAATGAAGCTATTAAATGCTATGAGAAAGAGCCTGCTCCAAAATAATAATCCCTATAATAATCCCTATTTCCATTTTTTATGGTACAGGTAACGTCCAAGCAAAGTCTGGCTGCTGAGGTATATTTTAGGTTGGGGTTTTGCACATGGTGTTTTTTGTTTGGTTGTTGGTTTTTAATTTTAAATTCTCATTAAGGTGTGTGGACTAAACTTCTTTCATGAGAGCTTAAACAGAAGTGCATTTAGAGAGCAGACATTCCTGTGCATTCTTCAGAAATATTACTGGGCTTTTATCCACATGTAATTATCTATTTGTAGTCCATGCCCAGGCAGGAATTTAAGGTTAATCAGGAAAAGGGGCTTGAAAGTGATTCTATTCTTATGAAACATAGGCACAAAATAGCTGGTATGCTCAACATTCAAAGCATGTTGATTTGACCCTTCAAATATAATTATACTTCGGGTAAGACAGAATTAGAGATTTTTTTCACAATCAAAATCAACTGTGATAAGAAAGTATCTCAATTCCTGCCTGCAAATGGTCTGAAATAGCAAGGTTACTGATGTACCACAAGCATATATAATTGTCATTGAATAGAAAAATATTTTATTTACCTTGATTTAGCATCATAAGTGCCTCCAGCTGCCTCGAAATGGGAAACTGCTTGTGCTGGACTTGAAAGTAACCCTTGGTTTATCCATGAAAATCCTGCAGACATATCTAGAAGAAAGCATAACTATTTATGATAGCTACTTATATTTTTTTCTTCCTTTTACGATTTTAAACTTTGCATTCTCTTTGCAGTAAGGATCCCTTAATTTAGTTTAGAAGGTACCAGTAGCTTGAGTTTTATACTGTAGATGAGTCCCGTTTAACCAAGATATGAAATTATATCCTGTGTTTGTGGATGCACTTAAGAGTTGCACTCAGCTTTTCCTTCTGTCTGGAGAAGATGCACCTGGCTGACAGCTGTATACAATCACAGGTACTTGAAATAAGAGTTCTGGAGTTCTTCATGGAAACTTAGTGCCACAGCCTGACCCTCTGAAATGCCCTGACAGCTCCAAGTGCCCTGGCCCCACTTGGTGAAGGTACAAAAGGAACTGTATTTATTTGTGTTTGAGATAATGCAGTGAAGCCACCCAGGCAGTCTCTGTGTTGTTGTGTGTGTTCTGGTGGCCAAAGGCAGTTTCAGCCTGGTGCTCTCATGGCTGGCAGTGGGGCAGTCTCCTCATGCACTCTGCCACCAGCCAGAGCTGGGCAGCAGCTGTGGACATGCACAGCCCATGGCAGAGGGCTGGTGCCAAGAATGGGGGAGAGAGCCTGTTGTACACCACATATGAGACATATAAGGCATTCTCCTCCCTAGGGATAGGAAATGGGGGACCAATTAAAATGGTCTGGCAATAATGCTGTATTTCTTGAGGTAGTTTGTTAAAAGCTCCCTGAGGAATGTGAAAAGGTTACTTACAACCCCCATAATACTTGTTTGCAAATTCCCTAACAAGTTATGCCTGTCAGTTGTTTCCAGTTACGTACATTTCTGCCAAGAGAATCAGCAAAACAAGTCCACTGACCCAATTACATTTACAGGATTTTCTTGTTTTGGTGTGTGTTTTTAATTTGTTCCTTAGACAAGGCATTTCTATTTGCCTACCCAAATTCCATCTCAACACAAAGTTAACATCAAAACAAAGTTATCAAGACCGTCTAGTTCTTTTCCATGGTACTTACATGTGGTTCCAACTGGATGAATTAAATCAGAAATTAGATTCTTCACTGTTAAATTCTAAGCCTAATCAAGCCTTTGTTTTAGACAGCACAGTAGCAGTAACTGGGACTGCACTATTATAATTATCTAGAATTGTTCTATACCAGCAGGTAAGAGGAATAACTGTGGCTGTTACATACACATTCCTATTTGTCCTTCTGTGTTCTTGTCAAGCTTTGGTTCCTCTTAAATTTGGCAGTGCTGCCTAGCACAGGGGCTGTTTTAAGCAGGTTGACACAGCCATGTTAATTGGCTCACCATCCACTGGGATGGATCCACAGGCTACCTTGGTTTGTGCTGTGGGAAGCTGCTGCAGCAATGTATTTAAATGTCATGTTACAAAGCAAGGCTAGCAAGGGTGTTGTTCCTGGCAGCAGTCCTTGGAACATGACAGCAAAGGTTAACAAGTGGCAGTTTTAGGGTGATCTGTGAGGACAGAATAGATGAGAACAGTTAAACGTGGATGGAACTGGATGTCTTTCATCGAGATTGCCCTAAATGCAGGTTTCATGTTACAGAGAACATGTTCTGACAGCTTCCTCCTGTCTGTGCAGAAGGCTAAACCATTTGGAACAACTGCATTGTATTTGGATTAATAAAGCTGTGCCATAATGTTGTTCTCTGGTATTTTGAAGGAGTGTACCTGTGTGTACATGTTTAGTATTCCAGAAGAATAACAAGACACTGCTAGTAAGCCTGTGGTTTATTAACATTTCTGGATAATAGCTCATTAGTTTTCTTTTTGAAAAGCAAGGTAGAAGCATGTCAGAAAGGTGGTTCATAAAAGCAGATCCCTGCCTTGTATTTTCATTGCCTCATATTTCTAAATACAATTTTCCAGTGGGCTCTGAGAAGCAAGGGATAAGACGTTGGTGAAAGATGGGGAGCTGAAGCCCTTTCCAGTATGGAAAAGTCTGTCAAAATCAGAAGTGTGTCTACAATGAAAATACTTATTTCTTCTAGCAGTGTACATCAGTTACTAATGGCTACACTTAAAACCAGGGAAAGCAGTTTGAATAAACCTGCCCGAGGTGATGCAGTGCAATCTAATAGTGGCATTGTTATGTACTAGGCATATCTTGTAGCAGATACATGTGACAGAAATTTATACTTTATTTGAGAAGGCTCTAAAGCAATACCCTCAATAGCTTTAGCAATTAATGTACAAATGCTGCATGGGAGTGTTGTTGACATCTAAACAAACTCATTCAGGCAGTGGGTGCTCTTAGCTCTTAAGTTCCAGCTCCAGCCCATTTTCTAGTCATGGCTAATTATACAGGTAAACAGCAGAGCACTTCTTCACAGAGGGGAAAAAAGCAAGTCCTAAACTGCACCACTTTGTCTGCCCACTGCCTTAGTGTGATACATAAGCTGAGATGTTACCCCAGCTGTTACTACCTCAGAATTTTTATTTCCTGCTTTTTTTTTTTTTTTTTTTAATCTGCAGTCTCATTTCTAGTAGTCAGGACTCAACTAACAAAGGTGGGACTTGGTTTTGTGTAAAGTGCCTGTCAGATGTGCACAGCCCAAAAGACGGAGATGTTACTCTGATTGCTGTTCCACGAGTTTCTGCTTGTCTCAGGTAGTGGAATATTTCTGCTCAGACAGCAACCTAATTCCCGCCTTTCCACTGGAACGGTTCTGGTTGGAGCCCTTTGCTACATAGTTCTTACTTGTTTAATAGTTGCAAGCTCCTTTGCTAGACAATGCCTGCAGTTTAGTACCTGGAACCAGCTCAGGGAGAGCGCACAGAAAGCACCTGGGTCAAAATGCAGAAATGGGCAGGTTTTTTGCAAAGGAAACCCTGTTTTCTGGAGGTAAATTAATGCAGTCTTAAAATGAAAGAGAAATTTTTGTTTGATCCTTGACACATGGGAACAGTAAAGTAACTTCAACATTGCAACACTGTTAAAAGACATGAGTTCTGCTCCTTTCCCCTTTTTTACATTGGTGATAAATCACATGGTAAATAACGTTGAGTTGAATGAACCTGTGAAGAACAAACCAAGATTGTTCAACTTCTCTTTTTGTTGTGCCTATAAAGACTTCAGGTGTAATTTCAAAACCAAAAATAAAATATGAAATCTCAATTTAATAAACCCACAGGAAAAGAGGACCAGGAAAACACAAATAAGTGTTAATAAACATAAGCACATTTGACGTAGTTTGAAATGTTAAGCCATTTAAAATGTACTACTTTTATCAAATGTAACTGAATTTTAATTTCTATATAGCAGTAGAGAAGTTAGAGCAAGAGCTTTGTTTCCTTTTCTCAAAAAAAAAAAAGGTCTGTATGCAGTAATTAATTGAGTAGCACTTCCTTTACAGATAAAGTACCTCCACAAACTTGAGAAAATGCTGGGCTAAGTTTAAGCTGCGGGTACAGTAAGAAGAACACACTGACAATAACCACAGGAAGCGATAGCAGATTTTGGCAGCTCTAGTCCAGTGGTGCAGCACCGAAGGAGTTCTAGTTTTGTGTCTAAGCACAACCTGTTCAAACAGAGAGGTAAAAGCTGCCTGGGTCACCTGTCCTGAAGTCTTTGGAGCCTCTTGCTTTATTTAGAGAAGCTTAGTTCTCAGGTGGCACCTGCTGGCTCCTGAGGGATTACACCCAACCAGTTCAAGATGCTCTTTTTCTTTCCTTTTTCTCAGCCTGGGAAAAGCTGCCTTCTTCCAGTTTGCTCCTCCATACATTCATTTACTCAAAATTAGTACTAACGCATTAATTTGTTCTGGGTGTCAACTTAGTTATTTAAGAAATAATTTCTTCATAATGCAGCTCACACATCACACTGTTATAAATCAGTGTGCATTACATCAACAGGATAAGATAAACCTTCCAAAATGAACAGTAAAACAACTGGTTCACGTACCAACTAAGTCCCACAAACCCTCAAATGTTACATACAAAAGTTAATATAATTAAATTTGCTTCAGTTAAGAAAGATTATGGATTTCATCAGGCACGATATTTAACTTACCTGTGATGTAGCTTTCTAAAGCTTTTGGCACCAGTGATTTTGCAGTTCTTAGGTCCTCAGCTGAGCATTTGCCTGCTTCAAGCCCAAAGGACATTCCCATTCTTTTCAGCACCTCGCTGTCATCATAAATCTCAAAAGTGTTATCAAAATTAAAGAGGTATTCAAATCTGCATGTGAAAAATGAAAAGTTAGATGATTCTGAACAGAACATAGTTGTGCTCTTCTTGCCTGTTCTTTCTCTGATGGTTTTGGCATGCACTGAGGTAAGCATCTAGAATCTTGGTTTTCTGTAAAGGGTCCTTAACGAAAGAGAGGTGCAAGAAATGCTTTTTCTTTTCTGTGACTGGCATGCCTACAGGTTTAAAATGGCACATGCCCAGTTAAAGTAACTTCCCCAACGGAGGAAAGAATTTTAAAATTTTCTACCTCACTAAGTAGTTTCAAAGGGGAAGAAGGAGGCCTTATTAAACATGAACCTTCACTTGCACTAAAGGCAATAAGGTCACCTGAAGCCCTGTTACCAAAAAAACCTATTTTGTTTTTCTGCTTTTACATTTCACTTTCTTGTTCTAATGTGCAACACTCCTCCTGTGAACTGACCTAGTTATTTTGGTATAATTTTGCTTTTTTGGATGCAGCTAGAAAAGCAGTCTGTTCAGAGTCCTATGTGTTCACAACCCATTTCTGCTGCAGGACTCTCAAAATGTTTGGGATTTTTTCCTAATTGCATATCAAAGTATAAATTCAGATATAAACTTCTGATAGCTTTAAGAAGTGCAGGGGGATTTAGGCTGGCCTTACATTGTCATCACAGTTATTAAAAGCCTGAACAATTCTGGTCTGTAAAATAAGGCTTAGTCTCCAGTACCTCTTTTTCTGCTGACAAAACATTTATCCTTGGAAAAACAACCCATCTGTGAGATACAGTCTCTAAAAGATAAGTCACTGGTAGGTCTTGCATTATCTCTCCAGGCTCATGTCACATGTCAATTTTCTTGCTAGGTTGTTTTCTATACTTATTTTCTGATACCTGAAAGTATCATTTCCTGATACTTGAAGCTTGAAAGGTCTTGAGTTTATACACAGAATTTTCAGTTGGTAATCTAATACCCTGTGCATTATATGTACAACATTTCCAAGCAATTACTTTCCTTTAGAAATTCCTCTGTAAATACAATTTTGAGTTGCTAATGCTGTAAGCTTAGTTCTTCATTTGACTTACTAACATGGGTGCTTTATATAATGTTATTTGGAGAGGAAAGAAAAATAGAAGGCCTTTAAAAAGTGGCTTTCAGTCTGGAATCAAGTGCAGAGCAAGCACTCAAGCTGATCAGTGATGGAGTCAGGCAGCACAAATGCTCCCCAGTAAGTCGCCACCTTTGCTAACTGCCTTATTTAGCAGACCAGTGTAACAGTGGTTAAAACAGCAGTTTCTGGCACTGTTTACCTATTGCTACTGCCCTAATTAGTTGCACAAATAACAACCACAGTGGAAAGCTGGCTTAATTTGGGTTGTACACTTAATGACCTCCAGGTGACATATTGCCAAAGCTGAGTTATATAAATTGAAGTATCAACAATTTCAATAATTTTGGTGTGTTCACTTTTGGTAGGAATGTTTTCACACAGCTGGAGAGCGCAGAAGTGTGTTACGCTACTCTGGTCCCAAATGCCAGGTTAATCTCTAGCAACTCAAAGCAGCAGTTCTGAAGTTTCAGTATGAAATTGTTCAACTTTTTAACAACTCCAAACCTAAGTGTAGAGTCCTGTTTAAAACAGCAGGAAGACCTCTCTAGTGTGACTATAGAATAAGGCTGTAATTATGCTAAATCAAAAATTATCCTAAAATTTCCAACTTGCTGAACTCATGAGTGTATTCCCTAAGTTTTGTCATATTGGAATATATTGGACTCCAGTCTAATTTTATATAAAAATTCAACTTTTAATTGTATTGCCATTTTGCATGCTGGTGCATGGGTTACTAGAGCCTGTCTATTTTTGCTGTGTGATTGACTTGAAGTTCAGTACAGGATTTGCATACCACAGAGAGAAATCTGTAATCTACAGTATTAGAGCAAAGCCAGCTATTTTCAGCTAATAAACTGATTGTGAGCCGATTACCAATTAACGTAACAGCACCTCAAACTTCAGCCATATTTTCACAGGATGAAGAGCACAAGCATCCACAATTATGTAACTGGAAGATTTTCAGATTAATGTGAATGCAACTGTAGCAGTTTGCTCACAAAGACAGTATTACAAATGTCTGTATCCTTTCTTTCAAAGAATTTTTTGCTGTTAAAAAACACTTTCAAGGTTCTTATCATCACCTGGAGTATGTTACTTTTCTGTCACATGGATAACCTTGTGTTTCTGACTGTGTACATTTTAAGCATACTAAGAGTAAGAATTCACATGGCTGCTTTAAAATGTAGTGCTGTCCTAGCAAATAGTTTAATGCATTTATTTCTCCTGTGCAGTGAATGCTCTTTGAAATGTCAGCCTGAAGTGCCTTTTACAACAGTGAAAGTCAGCCTGTTTTAACTAGAGATTGTAAGGCAGTGCTAATAAACCCATTCATATTATTACTGCAATTGCATTAAATATTTAAAAAAACCAAACAAACAATCCCCTGAAGTGACAGCTGCAAATATAAATACAATAAATACTTCTAGTAAACTAGAAAAAAATCCCTCACTTGTTTGAGGAAAAATTCGAGGCCAAAAACAAGATTTAAATGATAAAAAATAATTCCATAAACACTCACTTATCACTTGATATGCTGCAGTCTATAATTGTTCTTTTGCTAGTGTTGACTATTAAGAAAGGCAGCTGTATTGTCGAGGTCAAAGATGGAGGGCCTTGATTTTGCTGTTCATTTTGCTGATTTCTTTGTACCAAGTTTTTAAATGCTATTTGCTGTAAAACAAAAGAAAGAAAAAATTATCATTGACAATGAAAGGTCAGACATTAGTGTTTCTAGGAAATGAAGCCTCATAGGTCTTGTTTACTAACTCTCAATACCTTAAGTAATCTTTTGTCAAAAAGTGAGTTATGGCCTTCCTCTTGGCACTAGTGAAGCTCACCAGGAGCAGAAGTTAAACCAAGTTTTTGCACATATACTATTGACTCTATCCTCCCTCACACTCCCTGGAGAAGAAACAAGAGAGGAGCAGTAAGGCTTGCTGGAGATGCTTCCCCAATCCCTTTGAAAAGGCTCTGGAGTCAGAGGTCTCTCTGGTACTTTTTATGTGTAATTACCTCAGGGTACGAGATAGTTACACTGAAACAAAAATTCCCCAACTTCCCATATCTATAATTTTTATTCTCTTTCCCTTCTCATCCATCACCACCTTCTCTCTTTCAAAATAGTTAGTTTGGAAATTCTCCTCTGGAAGTTATTAAGCAGGTGCTGTTTGTGACACCACTCACTGCCTGCCAATTTCTTATATCTGACTGCATGTGTATGAAAATGTGTGGGTTTAGGAAATGTTATTTGAGGGACTGGAAGTCAGTGTACTTACCCACCTGAGGCACTGCTTCTTCCATTTAAGGGGAAAAAGATGGATAGAATCCCAAAGGACTAGTAAACCCTTTGGCAATCAACACAATCAGGGCAATAAAAACAGTTGTGGACAGTAAGGGAGTCAATTCTGTCAATGTTTGGACAAAAAGAGGGCCTGAGTTGCCTTATTTTCATCAGTGTAATTTCATGCTACTGTTGGAGGAACTGCTGATGTATTGGGTCCAACAGATAGAATTCCAATTGTACCCTAAGTAGAGAAACAGCTTTTGATGATGAACAAAAAAGTTTTGGCGAATATCAATTACATGAAAATTGTATCAGTGTAGTGGAACCAGGAATAAAATACAGCCTTATTGCCTGTAATCTCATAAAATCATTTCATTACATTTAAACTACTAAAAGTCTGCACAGACTAGAATGTTAAGGAATGCTCATAACTATATTTTTAAAATGTTACTTTATAAACAAGATGCATTTGAAATGTATTTCAGCAATTAAAGCCAAAAGTCATATCAAAGGTATGCAACAGAAGATAAAGGTGTTGGATTTGCCATCCTTCCACTCTTGAGATCTAGATATGTCTATATCCCCCAAAACAACTCTGCACACATTTACACAAGTTCTGTTAGAAACTTCATAGCTTAGGTCAAAAGAAAATTTGAAGAATGACTCAGGGTAGCTCTGGGGGAACTTTGAGTCAACAAAGGGGACTTGTGAGTTGTTCCCATTCCCACTGAGGTTGGCAGAGCTTCAGCAGAACACTGAGGAAAGCTTGTGGCACACAGATGGAGCATGCTGGTTTACAGCAGGCAAAACTGAACCACAGAGTGTCAGCAAGAGGTCCCTCTACCAGAATCCAGAAAGGTCACAGAGGTCAAACTTCATTCATTAGTATGTCACAGCTGTTAGTTAAATCTAGGAAGAACTTCAGAGGGTCTAATGTGTTGGATTTGCACTTGATATTTTCATTTATGGGGAAAAAATTAAAATTAAATATACCTGCAGTAGCAGTTCCTGCAATTGGGCTCGCTTCTGTTTTATCCTTTCAATCCGCTTCTGTTTTTCTATCTTAAAAGATAAATGCAAATGCATCAAGATACTTAGTTACCTTGTCCATTCCCCTGTACCAAACTGAACAGGCTTTCTTTGTAAACAGGGGCAAATTGCATGGGCATAAGAGTTCCCCCATTAAACAGGTCTGGCAGACTGTAATGTCTTTCTTTGTCAACAATTTTAACTCCAGTAAGGATTTAATTACTACAAGAGGCTATTATGTCCCCCCCCATTCTGCCTCTTCTGTCTTGCACTGAGTGCCAATTGGCACCAAATCAAACACTTGCTGGAGGAGATGCTTTAGGTTTTTTTCCTTCTGCCCTCCACTCCTTTGGAATTTTGCATGTCCCACTGTTCTTCTAGCTGCAAGCTACTAAACATAAATACATGGAGGCTGGGCTTATGATCACCTATATCTTACTAAAAAAAAAGTGACCTCCACTTTTTATTTGAGACTCGATTAAACTGAGAAGACTGCAGCAAAAGCAAGGAGTAGAGGTAACATTTTCTACAGGAGCACAGGCTCTTGCAGCAATTTAAATACTGCTGGTTGATGTGGTCAAGCTGCTGTACCTGGGACACGCAGAGCTGAGACAGGGCAGTGCTGACCCTACAGGTACAGCAGTCTAGGTGTAGTCTTTTAAAACTTAGCTGGCCCAAACTCCTCTATCTTATTTACAATGCTGCTTTGTGGTGGTGCCCTCCTCACACACTTTAAAATGCACCTTTCAGATGGCTTTCTGTGCTGGGACTCTTCAAACCAGTAAGCAGTAGTACAGATTTCAGATTTATCATGAAAATCATGAAAATTTACAGATTTTCATGTCATTCAGGCATGGTTTCTATATAACAAGCTCTTTTGCACTGATTTTTGTACTGGTAATCTTATTATGGATTTAAACTGTAAGAACAGTTGCCACTTTATACAGCTTTAAAACCAAAATTAATTTTGATTTTTACACCATGAAAATGCAGCTTTGTTTTACATTCTTTTCTATTATGTCAGAGGAAGCAACATTTTTTGAAAAATATGCCTGGCTTCCATTTTGTGCATGTGTAATTATAGCTGAAACAGTGAATTGCATATGATTATTGAAGATGAGACCATGAAATTCAAGCTCCATATTTGTAACAATAACCTATACTGGAGACAATGCATTCACATGAATGCATACAAAATGTAGATTTATCCAGAATTTAAAAAACATCCTGAAGCATAATGATTGAACACATGCATTCTCCTTGGATGGATGTATTTTTCAAGTTGCTGTAATGGACAAGGACAGTAAAAGCTTTTCTCTTACCACATCTAGAAAGACAATTGATGTAAATGACCCTGCACAAAAAGAGCTGCTAGAGAGGCACCCACCCACCTTTTAAGATATCTAATGCTCAAATGTCACAAACTGAGATGTATTTCCAGACAGCCATTACAGCATGCTACAATAAATACAGTGACTTGTGCTTTTTATTTATAGCACATTTGGCCTGAAGGACAGGCAACATTTGTGCATATAAATTCTGGCATCCCAGTAAAAAAACACTGTAACTCTTAGCCTGCTGAAAAAATAATGGAAATAACTGATAAGTAGTAACTTTTTTTTGCTTTCTCTGGCAGTTCATAACTAGTATTTGACATTCCAGCAGGAATTATTTTTCAATTTAATTTCCTTTGAATTATATTTCCAAGTACAGATATTAATAGAAAATTGGTCTAACTTTAAATGTGAACCATTTTGTGAGCATAACTGAACTTTCTTTTGACTTTCTTCTGCTTAATCCAAGGTACTACAGACTTTAATCTTAAAAATAATCCTGATTTAATCAATGTCCATTTTTGTAAGGTAAAGAGCTTGGCTTTTTTAAAAAACTAAATGTAATGTATACTAAATGAAACTGAACTAAGTATATACAAACATATTTTTTCAGTTTATTCCAATATCAAAATTTGTATTTTCATAGAGCACAAGAATCAAAACCAATCAGGTTCAAATTGAGAAAACAATCCCTCTTCTAAAGAGCAACTCAATTATCACAACATGTGAACAAAACAGAATTTCCCATGTACATCCCTTTACCTCTAGATTCTGACATTCCTGAGCTGAGTTTGTAGGAAGGCCGATCCATCGAATTTCCTTCTTCTCCTTTGAAATTATGTTCATTGCCATCAGGACATTGAGGGCATCGTAAACTCTCCGTCTAATATTTTTCTGATCATAAGCCTGCTAAGAAAACAATACAACAATAATTACAACAAAAGAATTTAATTAAAAAAGGAAAAGCAATTGAACACATCCTCCACAGACATGGAGAAGATCAAATGCCAAAATGGCAGTTCTGGTTAGAGTGGTGTCAAACCATGATCCTTCATCTGTGATGCCCCTTGGATACCACATGAGCATGCTTGGTTGCAAATGGAAGCTTCAGGCCTTCCTGAAGCATCTCTGTAGGAAATTCCATCATGGCAAGTCTGGCACAGTCAAAAAGCCTGACAAGACCACATATACAAGAGTAGCTTTTCTTAAAGTTAGTTATGTCAGTGGATTCCTCTACTTTGTTTATAATTTAGAGGGAGTTCAATTCTTCATCTTAATTCTATATTTTTATGTTTCAAAGGGTAAGTCTTTATATTTGAGAACCAGTTAAGTGGGAGTTAAGGAGAGTATAGACTGTGGCAGGACAGTGCAGAAACAGAATTCCATGATAAAACAGACAAATCTGTATTGGTATAACAAAATTCAACACATATTTGCTTACTGAATCTGTTGCTAGGTGGCTGTTAGAATTTGTGAATTCTGAAACGAGTTCATCAGCTACTTCGTTGTATGAAGTTGTTCCTTTACGTTGAACTTTTTCACAAACTTTCATTGAAAAATGCCTCAGACCCTTCCCATTTTTATCTCCTTTCTTGCTTCTCTTACTGAAAAGAGAAAAGCATTATTTTAATACATTGAATGTTAATAGGCTACTTTGTTGCACAGCAAAAGGTCTACTTTTTGCCACAGGAAACTGGACTATCTAAATGAAAAATAAATCTTCTGCATCAGTTTCTTGTTTCTTACAAGTTGGCAAAAAAGTGTACTAGAGCCCCTTCCCCTTCTTTGACTATTTCTACATTGATACCATTTGAACACATGTTGCTGGGAAGCTGCTTAAAATGGATTTTTAAATTCATCTCCAGGTGGTCTCACAAAAGAACAACGAAAAAAAAGAGGAAATCGCAGGGTGCTTATGTGCCTGGAAGCCAGGTTTATGTGGATCTCTGATGTGTGTGCCTAAAATAGAAAGGCTCAGACATCCCTATTTAAAATACAGCAGGAGATACTAAACTTGGTCATTAAGGGAATTAAAATGTATCCATCACAGAATATATCTCTCTATATATATATACACATCATAGCATATATACATACATACACATCTATCCTATGATGTGTCCATCACAGAATAGATACAAGAATCTCTTCTGTGGAGAGTAAGTACATATTCATTGGGTTTTAAGGTGCCAAATTAAGAACTGGCAAACTGTCAGGGTTATTTTCCATTCCCCTTCTTCCAGAAAAGCAAGAGCTTAGGTAATGGTAATAGAAAAAAAACAAACCAGGAGCAGTTGTTTTTATCACACAAACTAGATCTGGATGCGTAATTCAACAGAAGTCTTTAAAAAGTTCAGCTGTTGTTTTTGGGGTTTTTTTTCTTTTTTTTTAATTAGTCTCATGTGTCTGTTTTCATGTGTCTCATGTTTTTCTTTTTTTTAATTAGTCTCTGAAAATGTGTTCCAGGGAGAGCTATTATTTTACAGAAAAATGGCCCCCATCAGCAGTAAAAAGCTAAAGAAACTATTGAAAAAACAATAATGGTTTTCAAAATTGTGAATGTGTTTAGGAAAACAGAATACAGGTAAAAGAAACAAAAACAAGTAAAAAGGAACACCAGCAGACTTAAAAAAACCCCCAACACAGCTTTGATGTGAAGGAGTGAAAACTCCTGAAAGCAGGAACTGGACAGTCGTCTTTCTGAAAGGCAAATCTGAAGTAAACCAGGTGTGACTCTATACATAAAATACATTCAGTAACACTCACCTTTCTGAAAAATCTGACTCTATAATTTCTTGAGTCCGTTTTCGCTCCCTAAGACAAGACAATTCAAACTTAAGTTGAAAATAACATTATATCTGTAGATGACTAAAATCACTGTATATGGGGCCTAGCTGGTTCTAGTGTTTGCTCTTACATGTTTACTGAAAGGGAAAAATACAACATACAGAGCTTGACAAAATTTGAGGCAAGGTAGTTAGGACTCATGGAGGAAGTTGTTGAAGCTCACTGCCAGACAAATTCTGTTCCAAATTTTACCGTGCTTTGACCATAGGAATTGACACTTCAGAAAGCAGGGCATGTTGATTCTTTGGTTTAGCAAGCTGTGACCAGACAGTAGAGTTTGTCCCTCTTCTGGGTGCTGAAAGAACATCTGCCTAGCCTCCACATTTCACAAAATTTGCAGGGAAAGAGTAATTTTTGACAACTCCTTCCTAAATAAAATCAGAACTAAGTGCATTCAAAAGGTATTTCAGGAAATGAACATACTCAGCAAAAAAATTCAGCTTAAAAACTGTGTGGCTAGGCCTGCAATTTATTGACTCTGCGGGAGAATACAGTAATTGGGAAGTACAACCTATGACAGACCTTGCTTACAGAGTAAAATGGAGAAAGTCAAGGTACGAACATTGTACTCTCATTTCTGCTCTTTACTACATGCTCCATTTCCCACCTCTGTTGTTAAAAAGGTAATACTGACATTCATCACTGATTAGAAAAATTAATCTAGATGCAGAAATATATTACTTTTTCAGAGGCAAAGACGCAAACATCTCTTTTGAGACAGCTAAGCTCAGCTGTACTGATAAAATGCCAACAAACAATGTAAAGACCAGATTTAATTAAAAGAGATAAAGTCATGTTTGGCTGGAGCACCTCAGAACCCCATGAAACTTGTTGTTAATGTAGCATAGTAACAAAAATACTACACTGATTATATTTAAAGTTTTCTACTAGAATTTATTAAATGCCTGTTGAAGTGTTTTTGATAATCTCCCCCTGTAGGCACCTGCTGCTGTGCTTAATAGCAGTGCTGCATAGATATACCACGAACTAATGGAAAAAATAAAGGCTTCTTTTAACAGGAGTTGTTGTGACTCTCCATTTTCACCAAGAAACAGACACTGTCAGAAACCACAATTAAAGCAGACAGTGAAGTGACTGGTGCTTATAATTTGTGTTCACATGCTCCAGATATCAGAAGTGCCTCCCAGTCTGAAAAGCACATGCCATATACTTCATTTAGTTGTGCAAGAACTAGAAACTGTAAGTCAGCATATAGATTCAACAGTATAAGCAATGGAAAAGATCAGAACAGATGCTCAGACATCTTTAAGTGAGACAAAAGCCTTACCCTGGGACCCAGCCGGAAGCTTCTGTTATGTGTGTCTGTGTGACCATTGTTGGAGTTGGGTTATACGGACTCCCAATCAGAACACTCCCTGAACTGGTCAGTCTTTGTGGTGTGCTTATGATCTGTAAAATTCAGCAATAAAAATCACAGCTCTCTTAAGAAAACAGAGGTTACTACAGCCCAAAATTCATACTAAGCATTGCACTAAGAAAAGTAATAAAAATTCTGTACCAGAAGTGGTCATAACATACAGAAAAGATGGCATCAGAAGATCTTCATACAGTAAAGTCATTACAGTGCTGCTAATTTCCTATTAATTGTACTGTATTACTGTGTTACTCATATGGACAAGAACCAGACAAATGATTCCAAATAATTCCTAGGTATGGCAGATAGTATCTCTATCTATAGACATCTAGTTGTTTCTTCATGAGTACATCTAAGCAACTTCTTGATCAATGTAATCAATATGACCTTTTTTTCTTTCCAATGAATTTGGCTCTTGTAATTGTCTATACCAAATACAATCTGAGCTGCAGGCAAAGCATTCCCTGCAGTTTCTAGCATTCACAAGACCCCAAGGCACTCTGGCAACTAATTGTGACTACAGAATTCAATGTAAAGTCTTTTCGATATAGATAGAATTTATCTGGTGAAACTGTAGGTGAAATTGCAGGTACACTGGTTAACACCAGGACACCCAGTCTCGACTTCTAAATCACATTCCAGTTAATTTTTCAAAGTAGGTCACCAAATTATTTAAATAATATTTAAAGTGAAATAGTATTGATTATCTAATCTTTAAAATAAACCACATTTAATTATTTTGATTCCATTATGGTAAGATTCATACCAAAGCTGCTTGGACAGTGCTTTTTACTCTTATACCTTACATAAATTTTTAAAACTTTGTTTTACTTTACTCCATTTATTAGTGACATTTGAGTAGTGACTGTACTAAACTTTGTAGTTTCCTTTACTATTTAACTTACCCATCATCTGTGTAAGGATCCCAAGGCACTCTGGTAACTGTTTTAAGTATATGCTTGTTGTAAGTACACAGCAGATATATAGGTACTGCAAGTGTATGTGTATATATATGCATATATATATATATATGAACTACAGATAAGTATACAGAATTTGTTTGCTATCCATCATTATTGTTTAGAAAAGCATAAAAATGGCATGTGAAGAATTCCCCATCTCCCTAGCTCATTGAGCGTTATTTCACATCCCCCCTGGTACATGTTGTGACTACATACATGTCTATTTTGTCTTAAAGACATACATTGATCTAATTTATTGTTTGCAAATGTACAGTTTGACAGAACCGAGGAAAAAGAGAATTTTAGAGAAACCAAAACACAGGTACAGGTTATGTATTGATTTCTGGTCCTGGTTTAACCTGGAGACCCAAAGGCGCCTAGCTTTACCCCTCGCAGGAAGGCACGGGAAAGGTGTCACTTCCGTCACCTGACTGCCGCTCCGGCCTGAGGCAGGAAGGCGTCCAGGGCTGATGGATGGTTTGGAGCCCGGCGGAGCGAGCGCGGCCGCGGCCGGCAGGTGCCGATG